CAATTCTACCTTACAGTCTGGCTAGACCAGAGGATGTAGACGGGTACAGATAAGCCCATAGGGGCAGCCCTGCCCTGTCCTCTGGGTTCATTCTGTGTCACCATTGACTCGAAGGTCGTGAGTCTAGTGTATTTTTAAGTCCTCTTTTTGCCCTGGGTTGGCAAGCCCCTGTGAATGCACTGGTTCATATTGCCACCAGCCCAGCTTTTATTGCATGCCCGCCATCGTCCTACCTCGTGGTATGTTTTGAAATGTTTATTGGGTAAGTTTCCCTTTAATCTACATTTCCTTCCTCTCTGTCAGGGACCCCTTGTTGGGCCATCCCAGTCCCGTTTTGCCCCCTCTCCCTGGCTCCTAACTAACAGAAGCCGGCCTCCCACAGGTGATCGGCAAAGGCAGTGAGAAGTCGGATGACAACTCCTATGACGAGAAATACCTGATCGCCACCTCCGAGCAGCCCATCGCTGCGCTCCACCGGGACGAATGGCTGCGCCCCGAGGACCTGCCCATCAAGTATGCTGGCCTGTCCACCTGCTTCCGCCAGGAGGTGGGCTCCCACGGCCGCGACACCCGCGGCATCTTCCGAGTCCATCAGTTTGAGAAGGTGAGGAGGAGGAGGAGGAACGGCCGCATCACACTGCGTGGTCCGAGCAGGGCTCCAGCCCACCCTCACACCAGCGCTTCCTCTTGCTGCTTATGTCTCTGTCCTCGCAGGCAGTGGGGGGAGCCTGAGAATCTCCCTGGGGGGTGGGGAGGCTGTGGGTACGGACTTGAGCCAAGCTGTCCAAGTTCAAATGCCAGCTCTACCCCTGGGTGACCTGGAACAAGTTGTATAACTTCCCTGCTTCCTCCTTAAGGGGAGTCATACTGCCTGTTCTGGGCAGGATCCTGGGCAGGCGACATTGCTGGGTTATCTTTGGGCTACTAACTACCAGGTCCAGCATTCAAACCCACCAGCCAGTCCACGGGCGAAAGATGAGACCGTCTCTCTCCTGTAAAGAGGTACAGTCTCTGAATTCCACCGGGGCAGTTCTGCTGTGTTCTATAAGGTTGCTATGGGTCAGAACAGAGCCCATGGCAGCGGGTTTGACTTTTTGGTTCGGTCATTAGCCCTCCTGTGATTGAGCTCGTTGGTATGTGGGAAGACGTAGAGCAGTCCCAAGGAAGTGGGAGCTAAGCTCGGTGTATGTTGTTGCAGTCGGGCGGCCCGGCCTCACTTACCCTCTAGTGTAGGCAAAGGTATCGCCCACCCTCACCCTGTGCCATCGCCCCCTTTCTGCAGATTGAGCAGTTTGTCTACTCGTCCCCGCATGACAACAAGTCATGGGAGATGTTTGACGAGATGATCGCCACCGCAGAGGAGTTCTACCAGTCTCTGGGGATCCCGTACCACATTGTGAACATCGTGTCAGGTAGGAGGCCCAGCATCCTGCCTGCCCGCCTCTCCCACACCCCACAAACACCCTGCCCCCACCCTCCCGCCACTAGCTGAGCGGCCACACAAAGAAGGAGCTCACAATCCCCCTAATCACTCACATTAATTAAAACATCACACTCCTCTCGCTTGGGAGTGTTTGACGATAAGAGTATCTGGGTGTGATTCTACTTCTGGGGATGAGATTTGAATTAAATAATCCTTCAGACTTGCTAAAGGTTAGCCTTCTGAAACAGCGCCCCCTCCTCCATGAATTCGATGGGGGTTTTCTCGCAGGTTCTTTGAATCACGCTGCCAGTAAGAAGCTTGACCTGGAGGCCTGGTTTCCGGGCTCTGGGGCCTTCCGAGAGCTGGTCTCCTGTTCCAACTGCACGGACTACCAGGCACGCCGGCTCCGAATCCGATACGGGCAGACCAAGAAGATGATGGACAAGGTATGGGAGCCCCTCCCCAGGCCGCTCGCTCTGATTCCTCAGCCCTGGGAGACGAGCCCCAGCACCGGTGAAGCAGCCCAAGCAGGGATCCAAAATGATTTCTTCTTAGTCAGCAGTAGACTCTTTAGACAGAGGCTTGAGTCTAGCTCACCTGGGGATGCCCAGCCTGTGAACCTAGCTGTTCAGACTCGGCTCAGCCCTGCTCTTTCCCGAGTCAGGGCTGTGCAAGGCTCCAGAGGAGAAGCCACAGTGCAGTGTCTCCTTTCCTGCAGAGGAGCCTTGGCCACAGTGGGTCCCACCCTCCTCCAGCACCAGGCACACCAGGTCTTCCTCGTGGGGACATGAGGATTCTTCAGGAGTTAGCCACAGTTAGCAGAGAGCAAAGGGAATTCAAGTTTGGAACAGGGTTTCTGTTTGGATAGTCTGGTCCCCCATAAGACAGCTAGGAGTCAAGTTTAAACCGCCACCCGGGGGCCTCTCCCCAGGTGGAGTTTGTTCATATGCTCAATGCTACCATGTGCGCCACTACCCGCACTATCTGCGCCATCCTGGAGAACTACCAGACGGAGACGGGTATCAGAGTGCCTGAGAGACTAAAGGAGTTCATGCCGCCAGGTGAGGCCCCCCAGGCACCCAGTGCTCCCTCCTCCTGTCCTATAGCTCGTCTGAGTAGCTGGCCCCCAGCCCCGGACTTCCTGGTTTAGACCCAACGGGATGGACAATGGCAGGTCGCGCTCTGCCTACCCCGGACCCTGCCCGAGACTCTGGATGCAGAAGCAGGGGCCCTGGTCTCACTGCACCTCCTCAGAGGCTCTGAGTCGTTCGCTCGTTCATTCATTCGGTGGCTCTTCCCACCCAGGTCTCCAAGAGCTGATCCCCTTTGTGAAGCCGGCGCCCATAGACCAGGAGCCTTCCAAGAAGCACAAGAAGCAGCACGAGGGTAGCAAGAAGAAACCCGCCGCGGGAGCCGTGGCCCTGGAAGGCCAGCTGCAGAACATGGGGGTCACTGACGCCTGAACACTCCAGCCGCTGGCTCTCAGGCTTCCCTTTCTGCCCGCCTCAGCCGGGACGCCAGAGCCACCCGTCGCCCTGCCCCATCTGACTGCATAGCTAAGGGGAACACCTGTGACGTACGCACAGTGCAGATGTTCGCGTCTCTCCGCATGGGCATAGGATCCAGTCACTGGTGACTGACGATGACGACAAGTAATAAAATATAGCTGGGGAAGGCTCCACACTCTCCCTCCGTCGTCTTCCCGGGCTCGCAGCCTGGCCCTGGGCTGCCCGGGGCCTGACTGGTCTCTGCCTCTCCTTCCAAATGAGCACCTTCTGTTCAGCAAGTCAGAGAGCCTTGGAGAAGGTAGTGAAAGCACAGGTAGACCCAGTAAAGGCTCAGGGACAGCGAACATCTCAAGTCTTAGGTACACAAGCTTCCAGGACGAGGGCCAGCCACTCCCATCTACCTGGTCCCTGCTGGAATGCAGTGAGGTAGGACTGGTTTGTGCCCCTGAGTCCATCCGGACCGACTCACAGCGACTTTGCACACACAGGAGAGCCGCCAGGAGGGCTTTCCTGAGCTGTAAGCTCCCGGGAGCCGATGGCTAGGTCTTTTCTCCTGCTGAGCAGCTGACAGGTTCAAAGGGTCCACCTTTGGCTTCCTTGCCCCAGCCTAGGGTCCAGACTTGGTGTGAAGACCCTCAGAGTACTTCTGTTCACAGGAAGGGCTCCCTCCCAGCATCGGCAGGGAGCTTCGAGGCCTCAGTAGGAGAGATGGTACTCCGTTCAGGAGCATCCCTAGACTAGATTAGGTCAGAACACCAACTGCTTCTCCCTCTCCTGCCCTACCAGAGTGGGGGACCACCTGCAGGGCTGCCGAGGTACCGATCCAAAACCGAGAAGCCAAACTCACTCCATCGAGTCCATTCGGACTCACCGAGACTGGTCGGCCAGGGTCCAGCTGCCCCGTGGGTTCTGGCCGTTGGTGGAGAGGGTGGGTCCTGCCCATGCGGACGGACACACAGAGTCCATTCTCGCACAGGTGAGCGAAGCCCCCAGGCAGAGCAGGACCTCCACATGGCCCACTTGCAGTGGGGGGTGAGGGTCTAGCAAACGGGAGTCAATGGCCAGGAACGAAAGGGAGAGGAAAGAAAGAAAGAAGGAGAACTCCCGAGATGCAATAAGCAGAAGGGGAGGGGAGCCCCACTGTCGCCCTAATAGTCACTTGGCCCTCCCTCTGCGGAGGCTGCTGGTTAAGCTTTCATCCTGCAATCTACAAACTCTTAATAACACCTTCCGTTGGTGTGGTGCTTCTGGCCTGGGAGCCTCAAATACTTCCTGCAGAAGGTCCCTTTCATCTTCGTGACAGTCCCAGAAGGTAGGGTGGGACATGATTACACCTGGCCCATCACGCAGAAGGGAGGTGCGACAGCATGGCCAGCTGGAAGCTGGCAGGCTCGGGAGCCTCTGGTCTACACGTCACCCATCCCAGACAGCCCCATCTTCCCTGGATTTCTGCTGGTAATTGGCACTGATCCTGCGAAGCTTGTTGCTGGCAGACCCTTGTCAAAACCGGGCACCTGGAAGGCTGACCACAATGGTCACTGTGCCAGCACAAGGTCCACAGGCTTGTTTCTCAGTTGTCCACTCGCCTCAGCATGGGGGTGGCAAAGCCGGGCAGGAGGACCAGACAGCTGGTTGCTACTTGTAGTTCACAGGGGCCAGAGCGCACATCCCTGTCGCACTGACTGGCCTAAAGAAAGGCAGCTTACACAGTGAGCAGCAGGCTCTTTTTGTCCCCTTGGATTTGAACTTCCATTGGGTGTTGGAGTTAGAAACTTTGAATGGCTCAGCTCTATTTTCTGCTCTAGCCTCAGATTGGGTCACCAGTCCTGGGCTCTGGGCCTGGGACCCTCCTGCCACCAGCAGGCACTGCGCTGCTCCACCCTGAAAGCAGTGTGGGAGGGCAGGAGCCCCTGGGACCCTGGCCGGCCTCCTGCCTCCCCACCCACTGGTTGACAGCCCCTGCTCACCCAAGGAGTTTAGCGGCTGCTCCTCAAGCCTTCTGCCCTGTGCTCCCCGCGCCAACCTGCCCTCCCCTCCCGGCCTGCAGCTGGAGTAAACCCGAGTAAAAGTCAACTGGCCTGGGCGCCTGACTAGTCGGAAAGGAATGAGGCACGGGAATAGGCCAGTGAAAGGTGCAGTGTGGACAGTTAGTTCGGCAGCAGAAAGTCTACCCTCCTCCCTGAAGCCAGAAAAAGCTACAGTCCATCAGGGTGCAGACAAGGGTGGCCTGTAGCTGAGCCCCCTCCCTGCCGGTCACATCAGGACGCACAAGCAGGCGGGGCGCACAAACACAGAGGGGCAGTCTTCGCTCAGACCCCGCCTTTGGGGAGAGGTGTGGCTTGCCGTCCTCCCTGGAGCTGTGGGACAGGGCTGATGTAAGCCTAGGTGAGGACGGGCCGGCAGGAAGCTGAGCACCTGGAAGCGGCCCAGTTGCCTTGACTCCACCCTGCCTGCGCAGCCCACGATGGATGATGCCCTCATCCCTGGCACCTTGACCTGCCCGTCTCCAACCTCAGCTATCCAGGTTACCTCAGTTAGCAAACAACCCCCACAGGGGGTGGAGTGAGTCACAGCCTGGGTCCCTCACCAGCCTGGGTTCCCACACCCGGCACACCCGGCCCATGATGCAGTCTGGGTGCTCCAGGGTAGAGGGGTCACGGGGGCCCAGCGTGTGGCCCCTCTGCCACAAAGTGTAGACAACAGCAAGAGGACAAACTTCCAGAGACACATTCTGAAAAGCCAGGGCAGCTGTGGGGGCACAGCCCTCTGTAAGACCCAGGAGTGGGCTGCTGGCTCCTAACCTGGAAGGACCCAAACACCCCCACGGGAAACCTCACTCCTGGGGACTCACATTCTCGGTGTGTCCTGCTGTTCCTTCCCCAGAAGCTTTTTCCGGTTTCCCCTGGGTCCCCAGAAGGTCTCTTCCACCCCCGCCCCTCCCACCGGGCCCGGGGCGTCCCTGGCTGCACGCCCAGGCTGAGGCTGACAGGCAGAACAGGGATGGGCCCCAGAGAAACGCACAGCGTGTCAGAGCCTGTGCCAGATGAGGGGCCTGCCACCTCCCAGCATGGGGTTCCCCAACAGCAGCTCCCAGGTACACGCCAAAGGGGAGCGTACCCCTGCAGTCATACCCAGCAGGCTCCTGGTGGGACACTGACACCACTACCTCTGACATCGCCCCCTTAAGAACCCCCCCCCATGGGGGCGGGGGTGCTGCAGGCAGGTTCTTGTTGCAGAAACCCAGAAATGTGCAGTTCCCCTGCGACCGACAAGGAAAGGCGACCTGGGCACTGATGCTGCTAGTTTTCAAGCTGCAGCCCAGAGGAGAGCCTAGGGACAGAGGTAGGGGGCCCAGGGACCTCTGCTTCCGAGCAGCTCCCATTTCTGGAGGGATGTTCTCTCTCGTTGCTCTGATTGGCTGCCTCAGAAGCTCTGCAATTTGGAGAGCAGGTCCGGGTCTCTCCCTAGGACTGCAGGTGCCCCTCCCCCGCACAAACTCTGCTGCAGAAATGACCCAGGATTTGATTCTCAGGGAGGTGTAAATTGGTGATGGATGACTTGACCCCCAGGAGGACTTGCCCTTGCCGGAACACCTGGAAGAAGCCAATGCTTCAGGCGCCCACAGAGAATGCTGTGCACCTCTCCCTTCCATCTTGTCTCAGACCCCCAGCTTGTAATGTCTGTTTCCCACAAACCCTGATCTCATGACACTGCATGTCCTCTGAGACCTGGCTCCTCGGCTGGCCCTCTGCAAGCCCCCACCTTTCTCTCTGCTTCCCTCTTGGCACCAACAGGGCCCTATTTCCCCACCCTAAACAGCCTGCCTGCTCCAGCGTGCCCCACCTGGCCCTGGCCCTCAAAGATAAGCGGAAGATGGGCCCTTTACAGCCTCTGCTACTTGCTAAACAACATCCCTGGGCCTGCTGTGCCCCACCCCTCTCAGAAGGAAGTTCCAGGCAGCAAACAGCATATGCAAAAGTCCGGAGGTGATGGAGCGGGGGATGGTGGGTGTGCGGAGAGCGAGGGACGACTTGGACTGGAGAAATGAGCGGGGTGAGAACATAGCTTCTGCTTCGTGGAGATTCCACATACTGTAGGATCGTGCCATGTGGTCCATAGGGTGGTTTTTCAGAAGTAGATCTCCAGGCCTTTCTTCCCATTCTGTCTTATTCTGAAGTGCCACTGAGACACAAGCCTCCGCATGTGGTGCCCAGGGGTCACCGAATCACCACTGACCCCTCAGGACACAGTACCTGATCCTACACGCCAGCTCCGGAGGGTTCTTGCCTCTCCTCGCTTCTCTGCAGGCTCTCCTGCCTCTACACGCAGGGCTCCCACATGCATTCTCCCTCCTCCCAGCAGCACCAGCTCCAAGCTCCCAACACACCACAATGAGCTTTTTCCACTAGAATCTCAGCCCTGAATGCCCAGATCTCTTACCTACTCTCTACCCATCTGCAACAAGGCTGAGCAGCCACCTGACACCCCTTCATACCAGCCCCACTGAGGCCGGATCTTCACACACGTGCACACACACACCCGGCTGCCCCTTCAGCCCCAGCACCACCCCCACCCCCCACCCCACCCCACCTCCTGGACCACAACAGCCGCCTCTGCTGCTCCATCCATCAGAAGCCCAGTCCCTCTGTCAGGTCCAGCTGCCTCACTGCCCTGCAGAAGTATCAGCCAGGTGGTTCAGCCCAGGCCATGCCCTCCCTGCCAGAATGCTGCCCAGGCCCCTCCACCTACCCGAAAGGATAGGCATCTCAGCCAGAGTCCAGGCTCATCGACATGGCCACAGTTCAGACCAGTAGGCCCTCCCGCCTTGTCCCCACTGAGAGGCCTGTGCTCCAGCCCCACCCGGCTGGCTTTTGCCCTCAGACTTGCTCTCGCTGCTCTGTTCGCTCTACCCAGAAGGCCTTGTCCTCCTTCCTGTCTGTGCAACAATGCCCCTTCCCCCTTCAAATGCTGCCTCCTCTACAAAGCCCTCCCACTGCCCACCCCCATGCCCCTCCATGCTCTCTCTCTTCCTGGCTCCCAGAACATGGTGGCAGCATTCCTCTCTGTCCCTATTGGACAGGCTGCCCCCTGAGGCCAGAGCTGGAGCCTCCATCATCTGTGTGCCCCCTGTACTGAGCCAGCAGGAAGCCGGGCCCGAGGCACAGCTCCGGCC